ATAGTGGTGTAGATGTCATCATGGAGAGAGGCACAATACTGATGTAGATGTCATCATAGAGAGAGGCACAATAGTGGTGTACATGTCATGATGGAGAGAGGCACCATACTGATGTAGATGTGACCAAGGAGAGAGGCACAATACTGGTGTAGATGTCATCATAGAGAGAGGCACAATAGTGGTGTATATGTCATGATTGAGAGAGGCACCATACTGGTGTAGATGTCATCATGGAGAGAGGCATCATACTGATGTAGATGTCAGCATGGAGAGAGGCACAATACTGGTGTAGATGCCATTATGGAGAGAGGCATCATACTGATGTAGATGTCATCATGAAGAGAGGCACAATAGTGGTGTAGATGTCATGACTGAAAGAGGCACCATACTTGTGTAGATGTCATGATGGAGAGAGGCACCATACTGATGTAGATGTCATCATAGAGAGAGGCACAAAAGTGGTGTACATGTCATGATGGAGAGAGGCACCATACTGATGTAGATGTGACCAAGGAGAGAGGCACAATACTGGTGTAGATGTCATCATAGAGAGAGGCACAATAGTGGTGTACATGTCATGATGGAGAGAGGCACCATACTGATGTAGATGTGACCAAGGAGAGAGGCACAATACTGGTGTAGATGTCATCATAGAGAGAGGCACAATAGTGGTGTATATGTCATGATTGAGAGAGGCACCATACTGGTGTAGATGTCATCATGGAGAGAGGCATCATACTGATGTAGATGTCAGCATGGAGAGAGGCACAATACTGGTGTAGATGCCATTATGGAGAGAGGCATCATACTGATGTAGATGTCATCATGAAGAGAGGCACAATAGTGGTGTAGATGTCATGACTGAAAGAGGCACCATACTTGTGTAGATATCATGATGGAGAGAGGCACCATACTGGTGTAGATGTCATCTTGGTGAGAGGCACAATAGTGATGTAGATGTCATAAAGAGGGAGGTACCATACTGATGTAGATGCCATCATTGAGGGAGGCACAATATTGATGTAAATGTCATCATTGAGAGAGGCAAAACACTGATGTAGATGCCATCATGAAGAGAGGCACAATACTGGTGTAGATGCCATTATGGAGAGAGGCATCATACTGATGTAGATGTCATCATGAAGAGAGGCACAATAGTGGTGTAGATGTCATGACTGAAAGAGGCACCATACTTGTGTAGATGTCATGATGGAGAGAGGCACCATACTGATGTAGATGTCATCATAGAGAGAGGCACCGTACTGGTGTAGAGGTCATCATGGTGAGAGGCACCATACTGATGTAGATGTCGGCATGGAGAGAGGCACAATACTGGTGTAGATGCCATTATGGAGAGAGGCATCATACTGATGTAGGTGTCATCATGGTGAGAGGCACCATACTGATGTAGATGTCATCATGGAGAGAGGCACCATACTGGTGTAGAGGTCATCATGGTGAGAGGCACCATACTGATGTAGATGTCGGCATGGAGAGAGGCACAATACTGGTGTAGATGCCATTATGGAGAGAGGCATCATACTGATGTATATGTCATCATGGAGAGAGGCACAATAGTAGTGTAGATGTCAGACTGAGAGAGGCGCCATACTGGTGTAGATGTCATGATGGAGAGAGGCACCATACTGATGTAGATGTCATCATGGAGAGAGGCACAATACTGGTGTAGATGTCATCATGGAGAGAGGCACCATACTGGTGTAGATGTCATCATGGAGAGAGGCACAATACTGATGTAGATGTCATCATTGAGGGAGGCTCCATGCTGGTATAGATGCCATCATTGAGGGAGGCTCCATACATGTGTAGATGTCATCATAGAGGAGGATACCATACTGGTGTAGATGTCATCATTGAGGAGGATACCATACTGGTGTAGATGTCATCATGGAGAGAGGCACCATACTGGTGTAGATGTCATCATGGAGAGAAGCACCATACTGGTGTAGATGTCATCATGGAGAGAGGCAACATACTGGTGTAGATGCCATCATGGAGGGAGGCACCATTCTGATGTAGATGTCATCATTGAGAGAGGCACAATACTGATGTAGATGTCATCATTGAGGGAGGCTCCATACTGGTATAGATGCCATCATTGAGGGAGGCTCCATACTCGTGTAGATGTCATCATGAAGAGAGGCACAATACTGATGTAGTTGTCATCATTGATGGAGTCTACATACTGGTATAGATGCCATCATTGAGGGAGACACCATACTGATTTAGATGTCATCATTGAGGGACGCACCATACTGATGTAGATGTCATAATGAGGGAGGCACCATACTGATGTAGATGTCATAATGAGGGAGGCTCCATACTGATGTAGATGTCATCATTGAGGGAGGCACAATATTGATGTAAATGTCATCACTGAGAGAGGCACAATACTGATATAGATGTCATCATTGAGGGAGGCACCATACTGATGTAGATGTTATCATGGAGAGAGGCACGATACTGGTGTAGATGTCATCATGGAGAGAGGCACAATACTGATGTAGATGTCATCATTGAGGGAGTCTCCATACTGGTATAGATGCCATTATTGAGGGAGGCTCCATACCCGTGTAGATGTCATCATTGAAGGAGGCACAATAGTGATGTAGATGTCATAAAGAGTGAGGTACCATACTGATGTAGATGTCATCATTGAGGGAGGTACAATATTGATGTAAATGTCATCATTGAGAGAGGCACAATACTGATGTAGATGCCATCATTGAGGGAGGCTCCATACTGATGTAGATGTCATCATTGAGGGAGGCACCATACTGATGTAGATGCCATCATTGAGGGAGGCACCATACTGGTGTATATGTCATCATTGAGAGAGGCACAATACTGATGTAGATGTCATGATGGAGAGAGGCACCATACTGGTGTACATGTCATGAAGGCGAAAGGCACCTTACTGGTGTATATGTCATGATTGAGAGAGGCACCATACTGGTGTAGATGTCATGATGGAGAGAGGCACCATACTGATGTAGATGTCAGCATGGAGAGAGGCACAATACTGGTGTAGATGTCATTATGGAGAGAGGCATCATACTGATGTAGATGTCATCATGGAGAGAGGCACAATAGTGGTGTAGATGTCATGACTGAGAGAGGCGCCATACTGGTGTAGATGTCATGATGGAGAGAGGCACCATACTGATGTAGATGTCATCATGGAGAGAGGCACCATACTGGTGTAGATGTCATCATGGAGAGAGGCACCATACTGGTGTAGGTGTCATCATGGAGAGCGGGACCATACTGGTGTATATGTCATCATGGAGAGAGGCACCATACTGATGTAGATGTCATCATGGAGAGAGGCACCATACTGGTGTAGATGTCATCATTGAGAGAGGCACACTACTGATGTAGATGTCATCATTGTGGGAGGATCCATGCTGGTATAGATGCCATCATTGAGGGGGGTTCTATACCCGTGTAGATGTCATCATGGAGGAGGATACCATACTAGTGTAGATGTCATCATGGAGGAGGATACCATACCCGTGTAGATGTCATCATGAGGGAGGATACCATACCCGTGTAGATGTCATCATGGAGGAGGATACCAAACCCGTGTAGATGGCATCATGGAGGAGGATACAATACTGGTGTAGATGTCATCATGGAGAGAGGGATCATACAGGTGTAGATGCCATCATGGATAGAGGCACCATACTGGTGTACATGTCATCATTGAGAGAGGCACCATACTGGTGTAGATGTCATCATGGAGAGAGGGATCATACAGGTGTAGATGCCATCATGGATAGAGGCACCATACTGGTGTACATGTCATAATTGAGAGAGGCACCATACTGGTGTAGATGCCATCATGGAGAGAGAGATCATACAGGTGTAGATGTCATCATGGAGAGACGCACCATACTGGTGTAGATGTCATCATGGAGTGGGGTACCATACCCGTGTAGATGTCATCATTGAGAGAGGCACTATACTGGTGTAGGTGTCATCATGGAGAGAGGCACCATACTGGTGTAGATGTCATGATTGAGAGATGCACTATACTAGTGTAGAGGTCATCATGGAGAGGGGCACCATACCGATGTAGATGTGTTCATGGAGAGAGGCACCATACTGGTGTAGGTGTCATCATGGAGAGAGGCACCATACTGATTTAGATGTCATTATGGAGAGAGGCGCCATACTGGTGTAGATGTCATCATTGAGAGAGGCATCGCAGCTAGCAGTCAGACGATGGGCCAACATTGTTTTTTACTGTTGGCCAAATGTTAGGCCAACGTTGACTTAATGGTAAAGTCAATGGTAAAAGAAACGTTCGGCCAACATAATGATTACATTGGTCAAACATCTGATTGCTAGTTGGAAGGTGATATGATTTTAATAAGTTCCATTACAACATCAGCTTTTAGTATCAGTATCATGATAACTTTATTACATCGTAATAAAAGAACATTTTACTAAAATTGTTCAATAAAAGTACAAAAGAAACAAAACATACGGCTTTGCATTAAATCCCATTTCGGTAACTATTCAAATACTTCATTGAATGACCTTGACCTTGGCAAGAATCCATTTCCAGTGGTGATCAATTTATTCCCCAATGTGTGCTGAATGGCCTTGACGTTCGAATGAGTCTTACGCCAACAACTGCTGATCAACAGTTATCAGAGAAGAAGATAGTTGTGAGCATGGAAAAAGTGCAAAGGTCAGTATCAGTTACTATCACATTGTCACGTATAATGTTAAGCACTCCTTTACAAGATCGAGGGTGCTTTTCGGAGGGCTGGGCAGGACTGTGTCCAAACAAATGTTTCATCACTTCACGTTTACGAAGTCTGTCCATTTTCCAAAGGTCACTGACCCCTGCTTATTTCACTGACTTGTCACACCGAAACAACGTTGTGATTGTTATTACTATTATGCAATTAACAATCAACCCTCGTGGCTTTGAACAATTATCAAAACATGTCAAACCTATAAGTTACCTTCTTTCAGACGTGGTGTTACATTCTCCTTAAATTCATCTCCTGCTCTACCAGTTGGTCGAAACACCAGGAATGTTGGACCCTGCGGAGATGCAATAGGTTGATTTTCATTGACATCCTTCTTCTTCAAATGACTGTTTAATCTGTGACAGATTGACCTTGCCAAATCGTCATTTGTGTTGAAATAGGGCACCACCTTTATGTCAGCAAAGTTGATAAAGTTGTTGTCTGAAACAAGACAAAACACCTCAATATGCATCATCTTAAAATGAAAAACAAATGGTATGTTTGGATCTAAAGAAAGTTTATGTCCGAATATATGCAACATGGTTGACTGCTAAATACGTATGAAAATACATGTTTTCTGTGATGCCTTTTTAAGCTTTCAATGGTTGGTTAATAGTTATTCAGTAACTAGTGCTAATCGTCTGATACTATGTATCAGAAAGTCACGGAACTATTTATTTGGCCCTCTAATATGGTAGAAGGTCATACATTTACAACAAGCATGACATTCTCATATCCCCCGCCAATGTGACATGTCCGGTTGTGTGCGAGGCAGGAAATATTGTACAGTTTTCAAGATCTGCTTCGGAAACGAGCCCTACCACCATGTTCAGTCCAAGTCAATGCAATGGAAACTCGAAATATATGTTTTTCAAAAATCCCAAACTATCAACAGACACCCAGTTCACCACTAGACCTATCTCTGTGCCAGGTTTGGTGAAGATATCTCTTGTGGTTCTTGAGATCTGCTCCGGAAATACAATGTGGCGGACGTACGGAAGGACGGAAAGATGGAAGGATGGACGGACAGTAATAATTTCTATACCCCCTTACACTTCGTGGCGATGGATAATATTGTGTAGGTCTACGCTACCAAATGGGTATTCTTACAATCAAACAGTGTGGGTGAGATATGTGACATTAGGATAGATACGTGACATCGCACATTAAGATAATATCACCTGTCTTTCAACGTTCCAATAGTCAATTTTCTCCTCATGTCGAGCAATATTCCAGCAGCTCCAGCCTTTGGCGTTCACATTTCAAAGTTTTGAGATACAATCGATCATGCTCCTTCTACCAAGATTTCAAACATTCAAGGCCTCAGTACAGCTTTCAAAACGTTTTATGGTAGACATTTGGAGGACATGTCCATATTTGATGCATCAGTGACAAGAATGATGTCCGATGCAATTCCCTGTTTTAACCATATTTCCTCATGTTTCTTTCAGGTGAACAATTGACTTGCCTTTGCATGTGTTTGTGACGGCTGAACAATCGACTCTGCTTTACGCAGAAATTTCTATTGGATATGGAAAGGGTTTTGTCGCTTCATTTACACTTTGCAAACAAGTCAACGTGACATCGCACATAGGATTTGCAATGGATAAAACCACTTGTCACATGTCACTGTGCTGCAAAGTCAATGCGGCCGGAGATGACTTTTATTCGGGAACTGGATGGGAATATATTTTTAAACTGCCCAAACCCCAATTTGACAATTTCAGGCACATGGCCAAAGAGGCAACAAAGAAGGGGAAACAGGAGATCATCCGGGTACATTAAATGGTGTCCGAAGCCTTGGTTGAAATAAACCGGACAACGTCCAATGTCTGAAAATGCCTTTGTTTCTTTCGTCATAGGCAGTTTTTGGACTGATTTCATATAGTCGCCGATTTTATTGATCAAATATTGTTTGCAGTCAGAATTACGAAGTGCCACATTTTCAAGTTTTGATTTCACCTGATGTACATATTTTTAATCTACTTCCCGACCCCGTCATGTAATTATCAAAATAGTAACCATTTCATTTTATAAGTTCTTTTTTTCATGCAATCCACGTTCTTGTTTGACATAGCGACACGATATTCATGTGTTTTAGCAACATTTTATTTGCTGCAATTAGATTCAATTATGTGGTGACCCGTGAAGATCCGAGGTCGAATTGGTCTTCAGCAACCTATGCTTGCCATAAAAGGCGACTATGCTTGTCGTAAGAGGCGACTAACGGGATCGGGTGGTCAGGCTCGCAGACTGGGTTGATGCATGTCATCGTATCCGAATTTTGTGGATCGATGCTCATGATGTCAATCACTGGATTGTCTTGTCCAGACTCGATTACATACAGAACGCCGTCATATACCTAGAATATTGCTGAGTGCGACGATAAACAACATGAAACAAACAAACAAACCAGTCAAAATTCAAAAATTACTTCTGCAACTATATAACTATATACGGATCTCCGGAGCAATACCAAAAACATGAAAATCTGCTATAAGTAGTAACGGTTCTTAAACCAGGTAAACCACCCAATGAACCGGATTCCTAACGCCCAATATCCCTAACTTCCCATATTAAAAAAAAAAGTGGAATCCATTATATATAAGAGATTAAAATTTAAAATTACTAATTTTAATCTCCTTAACGATTGTCAAATCGCCAAACTGTAGACCACATTCTACATTTAGAACATGATTTCTAAACAGCACTAGTCCAAAACAATACACACTTGCAATATTTATCGATTTCAGTAAAGTTTTTGACATGGTTTGGCATAACGGCCTAATTAAAAAACTTCAAGACAAAGCCATTGATTGAAGAATCCTAAATTCCATTCACTCTTTTCTAACAGGCCAAAACATTACAGTAAAATGAAACCACACACTATCAGACCCCTCCTCATTAGAAAACGGCACCCCATGATTGATGACATTTTCCCCAAACTACCTTCTGACATAACTACAGCCAAATTTGCTGATCACTAAAAGAGATTCAAAACAGAATCCAACCTGTAATAAGCAATATAGATTTCTTGGCCTCCCAGTGGGGTTTCAAAATTAATACACCTGAGAATAATTGTTTTTCTCTTAAAAAAAACACACATGCCAAATTTTACACCAAAACTTACACTTATTAATGAAATTATTACTTTAAAAATAGATGCAAAATTCTTAGGAATCATTTTGGACCAACAACTCACATGGGCACCCCATATCGATAACTTGGTCAACTCGTGCCTTCTCCCTGTGCGGTATTCTTTTGTGTTCATGTTCTCCTGACACAACAGAAGACTTTAACCACATATTCAACCAATGTCCCCAATACAAACAACAACTACAGTTATATCAATCCCTCCCCCCACAACACAAAAACAACATCTCACTACTACTACAACCAACAAGTACTAGGGGGTTTCACGTACGTCACAGTAAATGTACGTTGTGGACGGAGAAGTGGGGAATAGCAAATATAAATAATATTTGAATAAAAGTAAATCCATACCAAAAAAAATGTAACTAAAGGGACATAACCTAGCACTATAAATCTACTACTATAACACATACAGCTAGTGTATTTAAGTATATGAGAAGAATTGAATCAGATAAGGCTATATGTATATATGGCCGAAACATGATGTGTACATGTCCAAACGCAAGCTTAGATCTAACCCTGACAAAATCTTCATCACTGAAGACCTGACCAAACATCGCCATTCACTAATTAAAAGGTTTCTAGAACTCAACAAAGCCACCTCAAGGGACTCATTTTGGACCTTTGATGGTAGTGTAATAGGCGTCCTCCAAAGCCTGTAAAAGGCGCCCAGTGACTGTAGAACTGTAAAAATAGATGACAAAAGGTCAGATATGTTACTGCGGTGCTTTGCGTTGTGTTCACTTCTCCCTGAGCAGTTTTCTTTTGTCTTTATGTTGTAGGAGGCTCCTGACCGGGTTACCAAGTCTAGTTATAAACAAGCATGTAGTCGACTAAGTCATCTATATCACCCGCCCATTTTAACACGTTATGGTCCCAAACCAGGTAGCTACCAAACATTTCTCTTATCCCATGTCAACATAGCTGCATTGGATATTTTAAAATAAACATTTCTAAAACTCCTTAATATTAAATGGCACCAGTTCAGTATGTGCTTTATATATACACATGCAATGTTTGGCAAGGAAATATTTAACAGTTTATTTTTACACTCCATAAGTGAACCCACCCTATATCAAAACTTAAATCCAACTTGTTGCCATTGAAGCGTAATTTTTTTTTCTAAAAGTGCTTAATATCAAAAGGCACCAGTTCAGTATGTGCCTTGTAGACATGCAGAGTGTTTTAGACAGTATTGAATGGGTTTTGAGTTATGAGCTCCGGAAACGAACACTGCCCTATAAAACCTAAGCCAAACTTGTTGCCACGGAAACCTAAAAAGTTCCGAAATAGCAAAAGGCACCAGTCCAATATGAGTCGGGATAGACATACAAAGTTACATAGAGAAATATAGAACAGTTTCTGAGTTATGCTCCGGAAACGATTTCGTTGGGTCGGGGGATAATAAAGCACAAAGAGTGAAGTTGAATTTAAAGTTTATTTACTAAAAAACAACAAAAGAACAACAAGGGCAAAATCCTTCTCCACTTGACTATAGCCATTGCGATTTTCCCCTTTCCCTACCTACATCAACCAATTCAACCGATTCAAAAATCGTAGCATGGGATGCAGAGCCAGCCGATGCCAATGTCATCGGATAGAACACACATTTGACAACAAACAAAGAAGATATTGGTGAGTTCTGATTGAAATTTACTGACAAAAACATCATGGTAATGTGGCAGTGTCATTTCTATAATTTATCTGTATATATATGGTATTGGTTTTAGACAGTGTAATTGGTGTACTTTATTATATCATGTACGGTACAAGTTTCCAGCCTGATTCCTTCAAGCTGAACTTGGGCTGGTAAGTTCTTTTGTTTATTGTGAGGGCCGAGAGTATTCTTTTGTCTTGCTTTTAGAGGGCAATCTTCTATGCTAACACAAGCACAAAGTCAGTCTACGAGATACAGCTTTCTCTGGACAGTCACGACATGAGACTCATATTTTGACACGTATTGTGACAAGGACTTTCACAGCTTCATCTTCACTATACATCTCCAAAGATGGATCTGAGTGACAAGTGAGTTGGCCTACTATCACCTGAGTGCCATACATTCGGGTAAATATTGGTATGGAAAATAAACTTGTGGCTTCTGGGTCACAACTCAAACCCCAGCAGGCGTTGGTCTCAACTGTGATACTTGCACCACCCTAACCTGCTACAAAGTGAAGCCCCCGGTGAGGAAAACTGACTAAAGAGGAGGGTGTGGTGCCACATCAGTGAGATATCAGCTGTACTGGCATACGCGTCTGACATTGTACGCCAGCTTTCAGTGACTTTGG